CTCCTAAAGGGATGAAACATGTGGCCTGTGTTGGGAAAGAGGATCAGTGTCTTACCATAACCTGTACCACAGTAGCAGAGTTTTGTGAGTAGACATTTCCTTCCTTTCTTCCTTCTTTCCTTCCTTTTTTTTTTTTAAATAAAAGAACATGATCTATTTGGAGAAACTTTATCGAACAGTTAATATATGGCAACCAGATCTGTATCCGGTTTTTCAAAGATCTTTATGGTTCCATAAAGGCCATAAAAACATCAAGGCCAAACACTATAAATAGCAAAGAAACAATCTGCATTGCTTTATAATATCTATGCTATAGGATCTCAAATGTACCTTTTCTTCCTTTCTCTTATTCCCAGAACCCGTACATGGTATAGAACATTCTCATTTTTTTTTACAAATTTCCCAATATTGCAAAGAAGGTTTGGCTCTTCCCAACGCTCACTGATGATTAGGTTCAGAAGAAGATGCATTTCTGCATTCCACTGTGGTGATGTTGAACTGAATCAGCCCACTGGCTGCCACAGACACTCCTAAAGGGATGAAACATGTGGCCTGTGTTGCACATCCTTGGTAAGTGGACTTTTGAGTGAAATTTCCAACTGGGAATAAGAGAAAGGAAGAAAAGGTACATTTGAGATCCTATAGCATAGATAATATAAAGCAATGCAGATTGTTTCTTTGCTATTTATAGTGTTTGGCCTTGATGTTTTTATGGCCTTTATGGAACCATAAAGATCTTTGAAAAACCTGATACAGATCTGGTTGCCATATATTAACTGTTCGATAAAGTTTCTCCAAATAGATCATGTTCTTTTATTTAAAAAAAAAAAAGGAAGGAAAGAAGGAAGAAAGGAAGGAAATGTCTACTCACAAAACTCTGCTACTGTGGTACAGGTTATGGTAAGACACTGATCCTCTTTCCCAACGCAGGCTACAGGTTGATTGGCTTCACAAGAATCCTCATCTAGTGCAAAGCAGGCTGGGCACTGTAACCCATTTGGTTGAAAGTCTTCATATTTTTCCACTGGAGGAAGCAAATTTTCCAGTTAGCAAAGTTTCATGATCACCACTAACCCTTTTAATGTCTATCCAATATCTTGACATTCTTTTCACATACTTGAGTTCAATTCCAGCTCGGATGGAATCAAGGAACCCAAGATTCTTTGCAACAAGCAAGAGTTTTTTAAAAAAAACACTAGCGTTTGAAAAGGATGTATGAAAGTGTAGATACTTACACAGAAGCGGTTCTGCATTACAGACATCAGTCTGACAACACTTAGTTTTAGCAATCTCAAATCTATCATCCACTGTTGTGCTGCTGAAGATGTCCTCATAACAGCGCTCACGTTTTGAACATTCCTTGATGATAAGACTCACTAGAGTTTTGGCTGCAGGAGGGAATTAGAAAAAGAAATATGGAAGTCAGCAAAAATGAAGAAATGCATATCAATCACGTTCATTTGACTGTTGTATTTTGGAAGAAATAGCTAAATACATGTGTTTCTTCCATTTATGAAATGTATACTGACTCAAACCATTGAGTAAACTTCAATGGCTGAGTTATCCTGCTTCCAACCCAGCACATATCCTAATATGCCAGTTCTTGGCCCTGCAGAAAATAGTTGGCCAGTTAAACTTCTACAAATGAGGTTCCTAATCATAACCTGAATTACTGTACCTCACTGGCTTTCATGTAAATGTTGACACCTTTGAAGATTTATTTATTTCCAAGAAACATATAAGCACAGGCAACTGCAGAATCTGGAGCTTTTGCAGAATGATGAATGTCCCATTGTGATAATGTAATATAAGCTCCTTCTGTTCAGCTTGCAATTTGTGATGCACATCAAGGGGGCAAAGTGTAGATTGCTACATCAGGATGTGTGTTTCATGACTTGTCCTCTCTTGTCCCCTTGTACATATCAATTCACCAACGTTTAAAAATTGCATCTGGTAAATAACACTGGACTTCTCCTACTGTCTCTCACTGAACCCTCAAGAGAAGTCATTGAAGGAATGTCCCAAACCTAATCACATCTTAGTACAACCCAGATGCTAAATTTTAGCATTTTACTGTTGTTTGAGAGTGAAACGGGAGACATATGTCGGCAAAGATGTTGAGACTCCGGACGGAGTGTGGAGAAGAGCAACAAAGATGATTAGGGGACTGGAGGCTAAAGCTTATGAAGGACGGTTGCAGGAATTGGGTAGGTCTAGTAAAAAGAAGGAGTAGCAGTGACATGATAGCAGTGTTCCAATATTTGAGGAGCTGCCCCTAGAATTGGAGGTCAACCTATCCTCCAAAGCACCTGAAGGCAGGATAAGAAGCAAGGATATAAGCAACCAAGAACTAAGGAGAAATATACTGACAATGAGACCAATCAATCAGTGGAACGGCTTCTCTCGAGAAGTTGTGAATGGTCCAATACTGGAGGTTGTAAGAAGAGACTGGAGAGTCATTTGTCTGAAATGGTCTAATCTAGTGTCTCCTGCAAGAGCAGGGAATTGGACTAGAAGATCTCCAAAGTGCCTTCTAACTCGGATGTTCTGTGTTCTAATAAATATATGCATATTATATAAAAGTGGGAAACATGGGCAGGTTATTCTTTGATGATGCAAAAACCAAGTGATGGACATGCCTGAGAACAAACTCAATTTTCACTTACATAAAGTAGAATTGACAACTACAGTAGAACAAAACTCTTTATCTTCTTTGCACTCCGCCACCTTCACATTATCTTCTTCACATTCAGTTCCAAGGGCAACACATTGTTCACACTTTAGAGACGTCACTATAAATAAAAGACATAGTCATGCCAATGATCAGTGTCACCCTTCTATGTTTTTCTCTCCTCCTAGCATTTGCATTCAAGACTCCTGTTATAATCTGGTTGACTAAGCATGTCTCCCTTCTTCTTGTTTTATTCTGCTGGGGATCTTCGGAAGGATGGGAGAGGAGATCAGCTTGTGGAAATGGAAGGGAAGTTGAGATTGAGAGAGAGAGATTCACTTTCTTGTACTGCTAACATTTTAATATGACACTGGATCATCCCATCTTTTGGTATTTATGCTGTAGACCAGTTTTGTGAAGAAGCCATTTGGATGCTGTCTGAGGCCATTTTTCTGTAAGAACCTGAATTCTGAATGTCTGCGAGTTCTGAATAATTGTTGACATCAGTTGATTCTTGGTGATGAAGGATTTGGGCACATTTTAGATATGGTGTGCCAATAACATCTTCTTAAGGCTGAGAGAAAGAGTCACCTGCCTAGTTTTTGGCCCAATGGTCGAATGTCACTTGCCTACTTTGTGTTCCTCATGAATGACTAGACTAACGGTGGGATTCACATTTTGTTACCGCTGGTTTGCTGAATGTGTGCCACATACATCGTGTGGTATGTGCCCTGCCTTCCACGCATGTGCTTTGCTCGCTCATGTGCCTTCCGCCCATGTGCCTGGCCTCAAAAACATGCCTAAATAGGATGACATAGAGCTGAGACAGGTGGGCAGGCCCACCAACAATTTCCATTACTGGCTCAGGTGAACTGGTCCAAACCAGCTGAATACCACCTCTGGAATAGACTCATAGTGCTCTATTCCTAACCCAAAATCTTCAGACATTAAACTAAATTGGCTCTCTTGATATTCTGAAGACATGGTCATTGATCCCGCATCCACTACAGGTAATCCTTGATATAAAACCAGAATTGGGATTGGAGCTTGTGCCACTAAGTAAGATTGTTAAGTGGGTTGTGCCCAGTTTTACAAGCTTTTCGTGGTAGTTAATAACTGCAGTCATTAAGTGAATCACATTGCTGTTTAGCAAATCTGCCTTCCCCTATTGACGCTGCTGGTCGGGAAAGTTGCAGATGAAGATCATATGTCCCAAGACATGCAATGGATATAAACACATGCCAGCTTCTTCATGCCCAAAATTTGATACCTGGCTGTGGGAATACTGCCATTGTTGAAAGTGTTAGGACCATTTGTAAGTCACTTTTTCAGTGCTGTTCTAACTTCAGATGGCCGCAGAACAAATTAATTTGTAGTAGAACAATTGACCATAGGCTCCCTCAACCTGCCTGCCTTCCACCCCTTTCCTGAAGTCTCCTGAAGTTTCTATATTTCAGTTTCAAGGAAATTAAATTCCTTACCTGTTGACAGGATGGAGGAGAAGAGACAGAGGACAAGAATTCCAGCTGCCCTCATGTTGGTAGAAGTCAACTCCGCTCCCTTTCCTGAAGTCTCCTGAAGTTTCTATATCTCAGTTTCAAGGAAATTAAATTCCTTACCTGTTGACAGGATGGAGGAGAAGAGACAGAGGACAAGAATTCCAGCTGCCCTCATGTTGGTAGAAGTCAACTCCGCTCCCTTTCCTGAAGCCACCTACTGCGCAGCTTTGCAACAGGGGAAAAGTTTTTGAACAATTAGGTTGTGGAGGTGGATTGTTGGGTCCCAAATGATTGGCTAGCAGAGATAGCAAACTCAGGCAGGGCAGAAGCTAAATTTCAATGGGAAAGATAGTTGGTTTTTTTTAAAGAAAATCTACACAAAATAAACTTTGCTCAGCAGTCAAATGTGGCTGTAATTTCTTGTTTACTACATCTCTACATCTTTTTCTGATTCTATAGTTGTGCATAATATGTATGTCAGTACTTTGTTATATATTAATGATAAATCTCTGAACATTTCCATTATTATATATTTATTTTTGTAGACAGATTTTAATTTCTGGCCCTTAGTTTCTATTACTTATGACTATATTTATTGATATCCCTGTCTATCTGAAAGAGGGCTGTGAAACTCAATTTCATTGAAGGCCGCATCAGGACAGTGGTTGACCTCGGGGGGCCAGGAGGTGTGGTT